GCCATAGTCACTGGGGCAATTATTTATTTATTTATTATTTATTTATTCAAGTTTTATTTAAAATAGAGGGTAGGTACATTCATAACAAAACACATAAATAATATTCAGGTGATCGGAACACTTTAACCGTTCATGTAATCATCTACAAATGGATGTAATTAACATCTTCTTTCCATTTCTCTCTTTTAACGCAATTTACACATTATTTTTATGTTGCAGGCTTCTTGGCTGTGGTACAAACGCAAACGGTAGACTAAGACGTCACACCACTGGTCCTCACAATCCAAATAAGTCACTCGGGGTGATTGCCTTGCATGTAAGTTACTTACTAAGTATATCGATTGCTACATGAATACAAGGGTTCTGGGACAATTAACCATTGGACAATCATCCCCCGGCCAATTACAAACGGGACAATTACCCCCCCCCCCCCCCCCCCCCCCCCCCTGAAAATTACACTCTCGGACAATCATCCCCTCCCCTGGACAATTAACCCCCGAAACAATTTAAACCAAAGTATTATCACAGTTAACTTTAAAGGTGGTAATTTTCCAGGGGGGGGGGTAATTATCATAGGGGCTAATTTTCAGAGGTAGGGGGTAAATGTCCTCGAGGGTAATTTTCGGGTGGTAATTGTCCTTAGGGGGATGTTGTCCTTGGGCGTAGTTTTCCGGGCGTGATTGATCAGGGGGTAAATGTCCTGATACAGAATGCAAGTACATCTTTAAACAGTGTAACATAAATTCATTTAAATGTATATCATGTGTATATCGTGCTTGAAAAATATAGTGGCATCCTGCATGTACATGTAAACTACAATATTATAAGATTATGCTTTCGATGACCCTACATTAACAAAAGATTGACAATGAAATGGAAAACATAAAAACAAACCGTGAATTGCCGGTATGTTCAGGGCCATCCACCAACCCACTGCTCCGTCATATCATGCAATAAAGAGACAGGTTGCCTGTGTACATGAAAAAATAAGCCATTCGCAGATCAAAATTTAATGTATGTAATACAAAGAGAATGATCTATTGGCCATATTTATTTATATCATCTTTACCGTTTTATTTAAAGCAGGCTTTCCTCTTTAGTTTAAAAAAACTGCTATCCCTGAGCGCTCTCCACAATAAAACAACGCATATAATTTATGTGTCGACCTGGTTAACTCATAAATAGCATACTAAACAAAGATAAGGAAAACAAAGATTAATAACATAACAAAGATATAATATTATGAATTCAAGATATTGTAAACAGTCACTAATTTTGAACATATAGTATGATCAAAACATTCAGTCGGTAAATTATTTAATTGTCCAATAACTGATTACAGCCGTTGAAAACAAAATGAGATAATACACAGGAGAATATAAGATGGGGATAGATTGAGGAAAAGCAAAGAAAGCTGGTAAAGATAGAGCGAAATAGGAGAAGAGAGAAAGAGAGGAAGAGGGAGGGGGAGGGAGAACAATGTACGTGGGTGTTACATGAAACATGAGTCAGCTAAAAACGGATGCCTCTAGAAAAGTGTACATGTACTTAACATAATACACGGGGGGTGAAAGAGATCAGAGAAGGAGCTAGAAAGAAAGGAACAAACAGAGAAAGGCAGCTAGACATTTGAGTGATGGGACTTATAGCTGCTCTGCATTTAAGTGATTCCATTGTTTCGTACGGAAATCCATTACTATATTTTGCCTGAGTTACACAGGCGAATGTTGTGACTTGTTAATTTTGAATATAATTTTCAAACGGGAATAGGTTATCGGTCGATTTTAATCAAGAAACATTGTTTTACAGCTTAATTAATATCTTGACATTGTGAGGGAGTTATACTACATAAATATGTTTGTGGAGTCATTGTACGTTGGGACTTCATCACAGCAAAGTTCAAATATTTTGTGTAAAGTTTGCGTAATGTTTATTCTGGCTACGTGGATCTGAAGTTGTTGTTGTTTGTTTTCTTCTTTTTATTACAACCCGTAACCTTCTTGTCGTAGAATAGCTGTCATAGGGCACTAAATTAGAACAGATATTTTGATACAGAAAGATACATTTAGGGAGATAATGGTTTCGTGAAGTGGAGAGTACGTGTATGTAAAAAGTCTACACACTTATTGTGCGCCCTTTTCGGCGCGTTTGAGAAAGCTCGGTTTGTATGATGGATGTCACTAAAGATTGTGTATTCATGGATGTGTTTGGAATGTGAATTCTACAATCGCATCGAACAAACGGGCGGCTCCTAGTCGTCTGGCGAGCAATAACTAAAGATATTTTACAGTGTAGAGTATCCCGGTGTGTTTAGTATGTACGTAAGGTTCTAGCTCTGGGATAAAGTTTTAAAGAGATGAATGGATTAGGAAAGAGTTGAAGAAGTTATACAAAAGAACACTCGTTTCCTGAGGGGGAGAGGGCAGTGATTTATTTAAAGGACAGGTATAGTATTTAATATAATTTTTTATTTATTTTTGGCTTCTGAATTATAATGTCAACTTAATATACCAAGGTGCCTTTCTTTAAATTCTAACCATTTCCAATATTATGTGTTGTTTATTATGTGGCTGACATATTAAACTACTTTCTAATTCCAGGATGATGGTCAACTCCAAGTAGAGAAATGCAAGCTATCTACCGAGATGACCACAAAGTTGTGGTCCTGTCTTAGATCATTCACTTCACTGAACCATCTCACCATCTCAGACTCCTCTCTCAGTTTCCCTTCATCTCCTCCCGACCTTCCACCAGTCACAAAGCTATCAGCCAAGAGAGTGACGTCACAAAGCTACGAAGGTCTGCTCTCATCGCTACCTGGCTTGAGAGATATCGATATCACTATCGATGATGCAGAGAGAGAGATACCTCAGATCACGGCTGGTCTTCGTCGAATTACGCGAACCGGAGGACAGCAGCTCACACACATCAAGCTTACAGCACCGTACTTGTACTCACACCCATCAGAGAAGAAGAGTGTATCGAGAGAGACGATGAGAGGACTGGGTCTACTGATCAGAGAACAAACCAAGAAGCTACAGCAGCTAAAACTGACCTGTGTGAAGTGCACAGAAGACGGGGAAGACTTGGTTTACCTCATCGAGTGCTGCAGACGGGTGAAGACGATGTCATGCGTGTGGTAGGTTCTTGTTCAAATCATGTATTAAATAGATTAAAATCCTACTAGATTATTCTATTCAGTTACTTTGCAGTAAGCATAATGATACAAATGCGTGAAAAGATGCAAAGGTTAAAACGTGGGTGTAATTTCCAAGTCTTTGACTGAAAGTTAAGAATAAGATGGGTTTTGTTTGATTATCGCTCTCAATTCTTATGTTATAATTTTTAAGTAGACTAGGGTCTAGACTTCTAGTCACTAGCAATGAATATAATTTGAATGCCTGTATTAAAAATCCAAAATTGTAATACTAATAGGTCTAGAAAATATGCAGTTGAATGTATTATTAAGATTATGCACCGTCGGAAGCTAAATTAATGTAAGTCCATGTCCCGGGGTCCATGTTGACTTAAAATACAAACCATAGATTTTCTATCCTTATAAAATTAATTATCATTATCATGAATTATTATTATTATAATTAGATCTAGATCTATTACGATTATATCGTAGCATAATTCGACTTATAATTGGTGAATTTTCGAACTCTTAATGCCAAACTAGGGGAAATTACTAGTTTTCACGATTCCCCCCCCCCCCCCGCCGGAGGTTGATTCATCATCTAAAATTAATTTCGATTTTAAATATCTTCAGGCCCGTAGCCAGAGTTTGATGTTGGGGGGGGGGGGGGGGGGGGGGGGCACATAGACCTAGATCTACATGTAATTGATCGACGTCCTGGGGAGGATCTATAAAAGTTCAACCAAGCCCCCCCCCCCCCCCCCCCCCCCCCACCCCCGTGGCTACGTGCCTGAATATCTTTGAAAATATATTTTTTATAAAAGGCTGAATCACTTTTGCCTTTAAACTGATGCTCGTGAGCTGTTTCATCGAATCAAATTTAGCTAGAATCAATCTTGATAAATTTTAGGTTAAACAAAGGGCTCTGCACATATGACCAACCACAAAAATGCGTCGCTAAACTACTGCAAGAGAGGTCCTCAAAAAAGTGAGTTAATTCCATTTTCTTCTAAAATATTCATTCTGTTGAAAACAAATTTTGGTGGAAGGAAAGTATTCTTCTCATTTTTAACCGAACGATATTTGACATAAATATCAATAGACTACTAGTAATAATTGGGTCTAGCGTTCCCCAACTTCTGAGCTAAAAATTAGATGGACGAATTGCATTGGTTCATGCATTTCCGTCCCATTCATTACATCCATGCATGTCCAACTCTACTTGTCTAACGACATTGAATATTTGGTTATGACAGGTCTGAATTCATTAGGAATATAGTTTATTCTTGCGTTTGATGACAAAATAAATAAGTCCACCACGGCTTTAGAAATCATCGCGTTGAATGGTCGCCGATAAAAAGTCTAGTGCGTAGAATCTAGGCCTAGGCTATAAATTGAGGTTAAGGCTCAGTTTCCAAATCTAGACTAGGCCTAGATCTACTTTGTTATTCGCCGGTAGGCAGTGCGGTAGCCCCTTTTTCATGTTGATAATAACATTCATTAACAATCGACGGGGTCATTGTTTTAACGTTAACATTTTATGAAAGAAAACAAATTGTCTCCACAGTTTCAGACCCAAGACCAAGTTAGATCTTGATTAAGAATAAGATCTTAATGTAGATTTGGTCTGCATCCTTATACTAGATCTAGGGACTTAGGGTCGATGTAGTCTAGACCTAGTCTCTACACTGCACCTTTTGTGTGCAGGATTAACTTAGATACATCAGAATTTAGAGATAGTCCCTTAGTCCTAGATCAGCTAGACTACGTTGTGAGATCTAAATTAAACAGGAGTTAGATCTAGTCCACATATAACGGTAACAAGTTAAATTTTAGACTAGATATAGAATGTTATGTACAGTAGTAGGCTCATGTATCGAGCTCTATATTGTGTTTTTCTTCATTTTATTTTTCTTTCAGAGTCAGAGATGGAGTAGACATGGACTCTTGAGTCATATCCAAGAAATAGACCTCTATAGTCTTCAACGTCTCTCATCCTACCTCTGCCCCGAGGAAAGGATATGGATCTGCATAATGTAATCTGGTTCAAGGTGTACTGCAAGATCCTACCATACTAAGTGGCCTTTTGATGTGATTATCTTAGCAAAGTTTGAACACCGACATGAAATAAGGGTGAGGTTCTTTTTCTTCTTCATGTTCTAGACCTACATAGAAATAAAGTACTAACTTTTTGTTCAGTTTATAGTCTTTTATATTCATTTATGATAAAGGGTTTAGATACCGAATATTGGATTTTACAATAACAAACTGAAAATGTTGTGTTCTTAATCTAAGAGGAAGCCAGCCATGACAGGTCAAAAACATAAATACTTGATCAGCCAGATTTTGATCAATTGTGCATAGAATAGGGCAACAGTGAGAGTGTAAAGATGTGATTGAACAAACTCTAATGAACATATGCATGATGTAAGCTGCTATCTTTGTTATATACCATTGTATCTCTTTTCCTTCTATTCCCCAGAGGGTAGTTGTAATCAATCCCTGTACAATAGGGTCGGTTTCAGATCAGAGTAACCATGATTAAGATTTGACTGTTGTAGTTTGATATTACAAATAAAAGCTCTAGTTCAAGATCAAGATTTTAAAGAAATGTTTGGGATCATAGTCAAAAGCAAGATAAGTCCAAACTGTGTATCAAAAAGAAAAGTTTCCACATTACACGAGTTCACCTTGACATATAATGGGTTGGACCAAAAATATTTTAATTACAATTAGAATCACTGATGAAAATATGCTTTTGTTTAGTTGAACACATTAGATTAGGTAAAGTGACAACTATCTTTCTGAGAAATATAATTGCACTCTCCGTTTTAAATCTTAGGTTGCAAAGTAAAGAGCTGTTGCATCTACATGAACTGCAAAGCTCATGGCATCTGGACTCTCATACCTAAGGTCTTATCCATCTCTTCAAGTAGAAAAGGTAAGGGGTTTCAGTTTAAATAATTGATCGTATTAGTATTTGTTGTGCATGTCATCATTTCCATGCCCCTACAGTAATCAATAGGAAAGAAAAAACGATAAAAAAAGTAAGTACAGTTCTTAGTCCTTTTTAGAAGTCTCATTCCGATCTTACCCAATCTATTGTATAAAACATACACAAATGGTTATGAGATGTTTTTTCCCAAGCCTAAAAATAAATTATTTATAATCTTTTCTTAAGGGAGATATTCATTGGTTTTAAAAACTAACTTTATTTTCATAATGGCAAACTTGAAACTTTGATTCGACAAGGTTATCAAAATCAATGCTTGGAAACATGCGAAGTAATGAGTATTATAAATTACAAAACGCTTTAGATACAGCCCCGGCATAGCACCTGAAGAGCTCTCCGAACGCTGCTGAGATGTGTGACATCACAGTATGGACATGATTTGCACAAGCAGAAGATGTCCCATGACATCTTACACATTTTCAGTGCCTGTTTTTCATCTTCTCTTGAGTTCTATCTCTTACTTCACTACCGTCAGGCTAAATGTATAATCTATTGCCTCACTCTAAACCCCGCGCATGGTTTTATTTTGATGACAAATGCCGTCCTTAATATAATTCCGTTTTTTTTTTCAATATGAAAGTCTGGTTTCTTTGATTGTTCATTAACCCCTATCCTGTGTATTTACAAACAAAACGTTTTAGTTATCAGAATCGGTTCCATATCCCATTTTGAATGGTTTGAAATGCCATCACATTTATATACACTAAACTCATTATAATTTGACAAATAAGAGCTTTGCAATTATGTTCATTCTTTATGGGATGTCGTCTGCTTGGTCAGTATTGGTCCATATTGTGACGTCATTAAAACAAAGTTATTTTTCTGGCGAATCTATCGTATATCCCAGCTGTTATGGAGGTGGTTGTATTTGTATTTTTATAAATCACCCGAACTACATATCGGATATGTAGTTGATCTAAAACTTTTACGATGGCCATCTGTTAGCTTACCAGTTTCTAGTGATACATTAGTTGGCATATTTGTGATTTTCTTTGAATTTCCACTTTAACTTAAACTTCTTTCGTATCAATATTTTTTAAGAATATTCTTTATCATTCTACTTTATTTATTTTCCTATCAAAGAAATTGACATGACCAGAAATACAAAAGTTGTAGAAAGATTAAACAATTACACTAGTAGTTATTAATTGTTTTATTGCGTAACTTTTTATTCCAGATTCTAGACTGCAGAGCCTGAATTCCCTGCAACATTATGCTTCATGTGGAACATCAGCCAGCCTTCAGATACAAGCTCCCTTTCCAGCTCTAAGCTAAACAGTTGCTAAACAGTTCGTGGACATGTCGCTTTTTTCAACTACGACTTCCCATGAAACAGACCTTTCAAATTAATTCAGCTAAAGCTATTAAAAATGCTTCAGTGAGGGTACCATGGGTTTGCCATCAGTTTGCCATGAGTATGAGATTATTGGTTTGATAAGAAGTCATCAAGTAAGGTCTAAAGGAACTAAGATTTTCAATGATAAATCCAAGAATTGTATTATTTCAAATAGAATGTTAGAATCTTGCAGAAGAAAGGACAAAATACTAGCTTTAGTTGAAGGATAAAACTTAAGTCATTATCCATATTAAGTTAGCTTTGCAATTTAAGCCTGCACTTTCGATAAATATCTTGTTAAGGGTTGTTGATGCTTTTAAAATCTATGATTCTGTCATGGAGGTTTACTGTCTTTAAACTTACATTACATAGACAAATCCGTTCGTTGGTGATGCATCTTAAAATATCAAATTAGAAATTTTAAAGAGGCAAATTAATCTGAGCAGCAGTGGACCAATTTGAGGGCCCATTTAGAACTCTTCCTAGAGGTTCTGTTGGCATGACCATGTGTTGATAATTACCTGTCAATGCCTCTATTGTATATTCTTGCCAATTGCCAAAGAACAAATTCAAAAGAAACAACTGAATATTATAATTGCATTGAAAACAGATTGGTCTAGCAGGAAATGATATATCAACTCGGATTTATATTGTCCTTAGAATATGTTCAAATCTGTTAGAAAAAAAAAGATAATTAACTTCATATAGACAAACTGTTGTATCAAGAAAAACACATTTTAACCTTACATAACAATGTGTCTAACCCTTAGATTAACAACCATATGGGTAAGACCAATCCTTACACAAATGTTACTCCTTTAATCTCCATCAATTTACGCCGAGTAGACAGTGGCAGATATAAGCTGCAATAGTTTTAACAACTGGCTGTACTTTAATAGCAGTACTTTCATTTGTGTCATTGAAAATGTTTTTATTGTATCCCTTGAATTAATTTGCTATTGCTCAACATATACAAAATGTAGATTTTCGTGCATTCAAGCAAAATAAAAACGATTAGACTTTAAAGCTTGAAAAATCTGTGTAAATTCTATTTTGTATTTGAGCAATGTACTGTTTGGCATTTGAAACAGAAAAAAGGGGTTGGGGCAAATAATGAATTGATGAAATTGTACGCTAACGCATGGTAGTATTTATAAAATGATGTGATTCAATGAAGGTGTGTTTGTTTGATGAGGAGTATTCAAATAACCTAGCAATGCTTTTGTTGGAAGCCTGTGTTTATCTTTCTTTTTAAACAAAACTTTATTCCTTTCCTTTTTTCCATTTTTTTTTTTTTTTTTAGGGGGGGGGGGGGTGAAAAGAGTTTTGATGGGAGTGTGGTTATGTGTTAATGAGAGAGAGGGAGAGAGAGAGAGAGAGTATTTAAATGGAATAAGGGCACAAATGTAGGAAAAAATATGGTAATTTATGGCCCCAAATTGACCATTAACTTTGTACAGAATTCTCCACTTTCCGATGCATGTCCAAATTTAATTTGGCCGTCAATTACGCCTTTCAAGCAAATCAATGCTGACCATATCGGATTAATACTAGGATATTTTTTTTTAAAGGGTTACTCTCTCAGTATGAAACGTGTTTTCTCGAGAGGCCCTGTACAAATTATAGGTCAAAATACAAAGGAAATTAAACAAAGTTTAAATACATATGACCTATCATATAATAATATTTGTTTTCCTTTTTTTGTTAAAACATAATATAAACACAAACAAATAGATATTTCACCAGGTATATAACAAACTTCCTTTTGAATCGATTAACAGAAATTAAAGCGCAAAAGCTGAAATACTCGTTTGGTTTGTTGTTGCTGAAAAGAACCGTGACTTGAAATAAAATGATAAAATTTATCTTAATATTTATTTCAAAGCTTAAAGGGATAGTTGAGTCCACTGTATTTTGGGGAAAGTGGAGCTGAATTGGTGTGATCGTATTGGCTAAATTTCACACATTTGGGGGACTAAAGTTACCTTCATAACAATTTTAGGTCCTAAAATGGCACTAGAAATATCATAGATAAGAATAAGAGCAATAACCCTGAAATTTGAAGGCATATGCGGTGTGAAGACAGAACTCAACTATCCCTTTAAATCTGTGTTTTTGTTTAAGTTTTGTTTTTCATTATGAAACATGGCCTAGATTCGAAAAAAATGAAGGCCCTTAAAATTGATCTGATTAATTTTAATATCAATTTCAAGGCCTTATGACCCCCCCCCCCCTTAAATTTTTCCTTCCCTCTCCACCTCCCAGAGTTTGTATTTTTTGTCGCTAAATAAATTAAGTGAGGCCTACAAAATTAAATCGTTCATGGGAAGAAAACAAATCAGATCTATAAATCCAAACATGACAATACTAAGAGTATCATATTTTACGCATTCTCCGTCTGTTTACTCTGTTCTTTGTATGTCTCTCTACTATATGTACATGTATTCCTCTATCTTTCTCTATATACACCCTCCCTTTATCGCGCGTGCTCTATCTCTCTCTCTCTCTCTCTCCTCTTCTCTCTTTACTCTAACATCCAACGCACCTAATACCTCTATCACTCTGTTTTCTGAACATAGGTTAGTCCACTGTGGAACTAGAAAGGGCGGCATACTGGAATCTCTTCTCAATGGTCTTAAAGCATCAAGAGGCAACCTCGATGTGTATCTTTGTCATGTAAGTATCGCTCCAAGTTGTGTGCACTGTATACTTTCACTATATATATATATATATATATATATATTTAATCTGTATAGTGTGTAACATACGCTAAGACGCTAATATTGTTCTGTATATCGTTTTTAACATTTTATTTCTAAATCGATTTCGATTTTGAGCCCGTTTCCTAGTGTTTATTTTGTTTTGTTTTCTTGTAAAATCATCATCCCCTCCTGCTTCGTAAGTTTTTCAGACTGTTTTATATTTTGAGTTCTCGTATCAGACTCGTTTGTCTCTGTCCCGGCTCTCTGTCTTTAATGCTGTTGATGATTTTTATCCCATTTCCTAGACACCAAATGCTCAACAGATTATCGAAACGTTGTTAAATGATATAGTCCATATTTCTTCTCTCCCATGTGTTCCTATAACACGTGTACACTTACTTCACTTTGTTTCCACTGTCTGTATTTGCACTTATCAAATATTATCTTTATTTTCGGTGTTGTTTCGATGGTACGACTTTTAGTATGATTTATTATCTTTATTCCTTGCATGAAATTGAGAAGGTTGTTTCTTTAATCACTTCATTGCTGGCTCTTTTTTTTTCGGGGAGGGGGGGGGGGGGCTGCCACTATCGTTATACCATGAGCTCATTCACTTGACCTTAATTTCCTTTTTTGGGGGGTTCATTTTCCTTTTAATTTTTTTCCATTTAATTGTTATTTTTAGTTGTGCTACCATTCTTAAACCATTTCTTAATTCTACCATTGGTTATTTCTGAGTTTAATGTTGTATGCTTTTGAATATTGCCTTCCTCCACCATCTTGCTCTCCGTTTATCTCTTTCTCTCTTTGTGGGGCGTTCTTTATCTGCATCAGAGTCAGCGCTCATGGGGAGAGGGCACAATACCCCTCTTTTTCTTCAAGTACACCAGAAGTGCTTCCATTTGCGGAAGAAAAGTGTTCATTTATATTGTGCCGCTGCTCTTTAAATAATTGTCCCTTCCCCTTTTATTATGTCCCCTCGTCAAATTTTCAAGGTGCCTTTTACTTTGACAAATGAACTTTTTCCTTTATTATGAATTCCCCTTTCCCGTTTTTAAACTGCCCATTATCATTTCTGATGTATGCCTTTTTTTTTACAACTGAATGATTGACTAATAGGTTTATTGAGAACATTCCATGATCTTAATCATATAACTAACTTGGCATGGATAACACTCATGCACGTTTTTAAGAACAAATATATGCAAATTGTCAAAAGGAGTATATAGACCATGTCAATTATTCATCATTAATGAGAAAGAGGAGAAGCGAAAGGCAAAGGAGAGAGGAGATTAGTAAATAGTATAGAACAAAGCAAAGCAGAGCGACCGTGAAAGTAAAAGATTTGGAGAGCCAGAGAAGTAGAAGAGGGTTGATAGGAGAAAGAGAGGTACACCAAGGTTTATACATTGACCATAGCTCTTATAAATCACATATCTGTCTTTATCTACACGGAATATATATATTTATTTATTTATTTCTGATATTTATACAGGGTGACACATATCACCAATTTGGTGGTCTTCCATGAGGCCCTGTTTGATAAGAATAAAAACAAATATCAGCAGCAAAAGCAAAATAGAGAAATACACAACAAGCATATAAGCAGTTATAATACAAATTAATTGGTATCGTCATGAATAAAACTGATCTTTCAAGAATTATCCTTGATCGTTTAAAAGAAATATGTTAATGGATTTTCAATTTCAATAGAAAGTACATTTAAACATGAAAATATAATAAATAATTGATGATAACCACGTATTTGAAAGAAAGAAAAACAATTTGAAAACGTACATTTTTTATAATCTGATATAGCTTAACACACGGGATACCAAAATTGTCGAATATATATCATACATCTGTCTTTAGTTACACGGAATATATATACATGTATATAACAGGGGAGGTATTGCATCACTTTTGAATACCAAATAGGAATGAAATGAACATAATACTAGCAAAGGAATAGAATGAGACCAAGAAGAAAGCGACGAGGGAGATAAATCTAGAGCGAGAGAGAGAGACAACAAAAAAATGTAGGTAGGAGGTATTGGTATATCTAGGAATAAATAGTTCGGTTTGTAATTATCAGGTGGGCTGTATAACGTACAGACCACCTCATAATTTCGTTAGAATTGCCTTTATTTATCAGGTGGGCTGTATAACGTACAGACCACCTTATAATTTCGTTAGAATTGCCTTTATTTATTATTATTATATATTTTTCTTATTTCTAACCACTTTTTTGTGAACAAGATAACTTGGAAATGGCTCAATCAAATGCCTAGAAATTTGGCACACATATGTATAGACATATGTACAAAGCACAATAACGTTTTCAACATTGACCTTCACTGATGACGTCATCTAGGCGCCATTTTGTAAAATTTTACGAAAATCAACTCATGATCATATCTTCATAACCAAAAGGTATTTCTCGTTCATATTTATCATGATCAAGGTCAATATCCGTCCGGTCAATAAAAGGTCAAATAACGCGCGCGTGCGCGTACGTCCGCGCGTCAATGCGCGCGCAAAATTTTGAAATGCTCAAAATCGTCTGAAAATCATTTTGCATACGTTTTAGGCCATTCTAAGCATTTTATAAAAAATCGCGCGTACGAGCATGCGCGCGCGTTTTCGCGCGTAAAACTTTTGC